CTAAACAATTTTTTCATTCATCATAATAAAAAGAAATTCAAAACAAGGAAAGCTAGAGGGGAGTTATGTCCGGGGGGGGGGGGGGGGGGGGGGAACCGGATAGAACATGAACCGCACTCGGTCCATGGCCGCATGGTTAATAACTCTTTTATTCAATTTTATTGTCAACATGCAAACTGCATCCAGTCTCAACTCATTTTGTCATGTTTTCAGCTGGAAAACTACCACCAAGGACTAAACAGAGGCTGGGATAAAGTCATGACTGCCAACAACAGATAAAACATACATGTACGTGAACAGTGATATGATGAAATTTTGCATCTGTTTTGTGATAAACTTGTAGAATACAGTTACACGTGTTTCACTTGGTTGTTATACTTTACTGGTTGGCAAGGGTTTGAATTCAAGTACTCAGTGACAGTGGGTAATCAGCGATAAATTAGTGTACATGTAGATTAAAAACATAGTTGGTACAAGTTTAATTGGATTACAACTCATACACAGTGCACATGTACACCAACTATGTAACATGAGTTGTACAACCAATTTTAAACACTAATGCACACTATAAAAGGGTAAGAGTTCCTTACATACAATGTAATGCGCGTTGGTGTTTAAACCATACACTATTATGCAATGTTTATTGTTGAGTAAAAACACGGGTTGCTGCAGAAAACAATAAATGGCTGCTAGAAAAAGAAGCCAATCTTTTGTGACATAATAGAATGTGTTTTTCTTTTATAATAAGAAAAGTAACCAGTAAATCTAAAAATAATGACTTTTATTAATTAAAAGCTTTGTTTAAAAACTATTTTTAAAATTTAAATAATCATTACAATCCTATTAAATGTTATCAATATTTATATAATGTTACTAAACTCTGTTAATTACTTCTTTGGAAACCTGCTGAAAATAATCTGGAAAGTCACTGGCAAAGTTCGTAGACAACCATTCAATGAGCTTAATATTTTTAAAGTTATGCACTTGGTAATCAAAAACAAAGTATAGTCCAACTTCACTGACTGAAGTTGCCTTGTTTTGGAGGTTATCACATTCCTTTGCAATATTGCTAGGATGATTTTGTGCGGTGTGGCTAGTTAAGGTGATTCCCTGGTAAAAGAACCCGCCATAGATTTCCAATGAAATTTGGTATGCTGTTGTTACAGGACAAGGAGATATTAAAAACGTAGTAAAAAGAGGGGGTCACCATGCTTGTTTTCACGCCACAATGCTGACAAATACGGTTATTTAGGTGACTTTTGGTAATATCTGTGAGCAACAAACAAGCTCGATTATTTTTCAATGCAGCATGTTATATCACACAGAGTTTTGATTGTTTATTCGTTTATGTCCCAGAAAAAATGTGTTCAAATACCCTGCATTTTTTTATCCTTTATAGGAAACATAATTTGGACATGTGCTGTTGGGCCCGTTATGTCTCCCTCTGTAGTATTTATTTCATTTGCCAAGAAAGTAGCCATAGATTTCTTCTAATTTTTTTTTCAGTTATTGAGGATATTGTTCTCATTGAAAATTAATTACAAAATAAAAAGTGGGGGTCACCGTGTTCGTTTAAGAGAAAAGGAGCATTTATTTTGCTATCGAGCTTAGTTTGAGGGAAATCTCTTTTGTTTTGTACGCGCACGTGCTCATGTGCGCAAGCTAATGATCCGAAAATTGTGTGCAGTAGGGATGTGCAATGCAATACTAAGGAATCACCTTAATGCAAAGGACCCATTATGATAACCTCCTCTGAACAGTGTACTGCAGACCACTTTAGTTCAACTGCACACTTTGTTTCTTTTTTGTGTATGGTTTACATTGGCAGTGCAGACTAGGCTATTATTATATATATTTTTTTTACTTCCCAAAGATTGGTACATTGTAGAAGTCAACATTATTACGCTGAACTCTTAGTCACAAAACCAGAACACTGTCAGTGTGGTCAGGAAAAATATGATTGGTAGAATTTGTGTCCTCCTTGATGTCGACGAGGTTGGTGGAGCTAAGGTAGCTGTCAGTGATAAAAGGTCATAAAACATCAGTGAGAATTCTAGCACCTACATTGTAGTATTAAAAACTAAAAATAAATATACCTTAATTGACCATACCTCCAATGCGGCTTTTCAGGGCCAATGGAAGCAAATGATGAAACAAATAATGCAAATGAACATAACGTGGCTAAAAATCCCAACTGGCAGGAGGCAGACCAGTTAGCTAGTTACAAGCGAGGCTGAGGAGTTGAACTAGGGTCTACTGAGAAAAAACTCCCGCTCAGTGGTCTGAGTGGGACTTGAACCCGTGACCTCCAGTTTTAAGTCCAGCACCTTAACCACTCGGCCATGCCGTCTCCACCCATAAAAGAAATGTCATGTCATATCAGGGGCAGTTTATCTTTGGGCAACAAAATCCAAAATGAACTTGCTCCAAATCTGGTCTTAAATTTTTTTAAAATAATGTTTCAGAATAATATCTTAGGATAATAATTTTGGATCTCTCAGTAACTGAAATTTCAAATGAAACCAGAAACATTCCTTCCAGGAGTGTTGTCTTTGTTTTAGACTTTCTCAAAGTCTTCCATGGTTGTAGCTAGTTACATTGCACTCTTTGCACTTAAGTTTTGAGAGTCCCACAGCCATCCCTTGCTCTGAGCTTGGGTTTTGCAACTCAACTTGTGGGCTTGTCTATCACAGTTTAATTATTATAACAGTCTTTATTTACTTGAGTTCAAGTTTCCTTTCCACACAATGCATGTCAAGGGTTAGCATGTGAACGCAAACGTATTTCCGGCTGTCGCTTGTCTTGCCGAAAATAACGTCTTAGAACCCGAGCCAGGAAGCAATTTCTGTGATGTAATGACTTTTGTTTCTCCTTGGCCAATCAGATTCCATGATAGAATGAAACTCGTACTCCTCGCAGCGAAAACCTCGCAGGAGTAGTTCTGGGGCTACTTGAGCTAAACTGTGATTGGCTTAAAATTCCTACGTCCTAGAAATCGTTTCCTGGCTTTAGGTTCCCAGACGTTATTTTCGGCAGAGACAAGCGACAACTGGAAATGCGTCTGCGTCTGCAGGCTAGTCATGGCTCAAACTAAAATAATCAACATCAATAAAAATCATAACAAAACAGACTGATTACCACTATAGGTTGTACGAGTATTGCACAGATCAGTGGAACAACATTTTGTGCAGATAGTTTTATCATTATTTTTGATACAGCCAACACCCAGACGTTCACAGTCAACTTTAGCTTTGCAAGTTAGGTGATAGACTTGAGGTTCTGTAGAGACAAAAAAATACTTTACCATAAAATATGAGTAATAAAAAACACCTTCACTTAATTGTGAACTTAGAATTTTTTCTATGTATCAAAGTTTTGCATTTAATTCACAAACATTAATATTCTTGTTGTTGTGAAAAAAGAAAAAACAAACAAACAAATTCTGCGAGATTTACAAAAAAATAAATTAACTGAGTGAAATTCTAGATGACAGCTAGATCAGAACTACAACATGTAACATTTATGATCATAACATTTATGATCATATTCCTGTGCTGTTTTGAGGGTTCAGTTACAGCGTGTCACATTTGCATTATTCTCTGAAATTCCACAGTTTGTCAGTTTGAATCTGGCAAAAGTTTACATTCAACTCTGTTTTTTTTTTTTTTTTAATGTTATTTTTGTGTCTTTTTAGACATGTATATTGGCCTGTCCTTGATTTCCTAAACTCTATAGCGGCCAGAGATTGTTAGAATTTTTAAGGATGAACTCAAGAACACTTGTACATAATGACTTCCCCATTCAAACACTGTAATTGCTCCATTTGCACTAGTTGGGTGTCAAAATAAGAACCATGGCTCTGGTGAGACTTCTTGAGACTAAATGCCATTCAAATTAAAAGGGTTTGGCTGGAATGCTGGCAGTCTGTTTTTCTCTTGAAATTCAGCAGGGATTATGAGGTGAGACCTTGAAGTTCATTCCCTACTCAGCCATACTGCCCTTTTGTCTTTGCAATGGCTAAACACTCGTCTAACTAAGTGACCCTAAGAGAAAAGGCTGTCTGCCAGCAGTCTAGGGTTTGGGTGAGATTATTTAGGTTCCAAGCACTTGCAGCAAAAATAGTGCTTAAAGCTTTTTAATTTCCAGCTCTCAGTACACACCAGATAACTTGTTTCTGGTGAGATGTATCATGCATGTATTCTCTGATCCACTGCAGTTCTTGGTGGTATTACTGCAACCTGCATCCTGATCAGGTTCCTTTTTTGCTCCATGGCAATTGTAGCATTTGAGAGAAGTAGCTGCAATATGTTAATATACCACAACTGATAAAGTCTGCCTTTAACTACCAAATTGCATGATACATCAACAAGTACCGGTACTATTCTAATGCAACTGCACACAGGAAAAGACTCTCCCATCTTAGATCTCATTAAAACACTACTTTTGCAACACTTTCAAATGGTATACCATGGAATGTCCCACAAGTCAGTTGTATTTTCTTGGTATATGTAAGAGCCTTTGGGTGTGTTAGTGAATTCCAAGAAAATACAAGTGACCAGTGGGATGTTACATGGTACATGACAAAAAAGTATTGCATAGCTGTTAATACCCTGTCATAGAAACTACAGTGGCCAAAACAATCAATGCAGCAAACAATGGCTCGGCTGTAGGTGTATCCTACTCTTGCCAGAACTTTTCCCCCCCCCCCCCCCCCCCCCCCCCCACACACACACACACACACACCCCGCACCCCTTGTTACAAGACTGTATTTCCTCTTAGCAGCATGTACAGTCATTTGACGTGCTAACTGATTCTGGCCACAATTACAGCAACAACAACCATCTCTATTTGTGCTCTTTTAAATGTACAAATATAAGGAAGATAAAGAGAGAACAGCCACTTAAAAGAAATAGCAAATGCTAGTTGTGCTAAGTGGCTGGGCTAACCATGCTGAAAAGAAAAGATTGAAAAAGGGACGGAATACATGTTGGACATTCCCCAAATATAAGGGCCTGTTTACAAGGAGGGAGGGTTACCATAGCAAGCGGGTTAACCCTAGCTGGAGGGCAAAAGATAGCCCGGATTTACAAGCAAAATTTCACAGGTAGGGTAACCCTACAACCCGGGACAACTTAATGCGCGGTTGCACC